TATTTTTCAAGGCCAAGTAATTTCCTTATTGTATTTATTCATCATGCTTTCATATGATGTTAATTTACGAGATCGTGTAAATTTTCTTCTCAAAATACCACTTTTGCCTTTTTTCTATCGTGTTTTATCCTTATTTTCACTTTATCTTTGAGACATTCAATATAATCATATCTCAAAAACAAAAATATCAAGTGATTGCACTCGAAAAAAAAGGTCAACATAACTTTGATTATAAGGTGTATGAGAATGAATGCGGGGAGAATACTTAAAGCTCGTTAGAAAAGCATGAAAGTGTCTTGATTTTGTGAATGTGTCTTATATAGAATTTTGGATTTCATTTGTAAAAATATTATGATTTTCATGGATTGGGTCGTTTCTTTAAAAAGAAATTCCTGTTAATCTTGACATGATTTTATTATCGATTTAAAATAAAGAGATGTTAGTCCGAAAGTCTCATTATCATTTTACATCATCTAAATCAAAATGAATTAAATGATAAACTCATTCAGAATCTTTCAACATTGATCAACTTTCGAAATATATCGTGCAAATGTTAGGAGCTAGTCCATCTTTTTTGGAACCAAAAACATTCCTCTCCTATTCCTAACAAATTCTTTTAAATGATGATGAGTGGTACGATCCCACTTTATACATCACTTTTTCTCTATGAGTTAATAATAGTCTTTAAATAAAACTAAAACTTATCGACTTAAACAAGATCGGATTTAAGATAAAGAAAGATAATTTTTGATATTTTTTTCACAAATAAAAAAACTTATCCCTTGTTGTCCAACTTCGAGTCTAAAGATTTCTTTCGATAGTGACTTAGATTAAGATCACCCCTCGTTTTGGGAGCAATTTTGAAGTTCATAAATAATCAAGGATATTTTCCTAGAAAAACAAGATGAGAAATAATGATAATTGTTCACAAAATAAAAACTTATCGAAAAAATCTTGAACGACTTTGAAAAGAAATAAAAAACAAAAGTGAAGCACTAAGAAAACCGAAAAGTGCTATCTAGAGTGATCTATATCTATCTCATGATTTAAAATTAGAAAGGGTTAAAAATCCCAAAAACTAAAAAATGACAAGAGTGAACATGAAAAAAGAGCTGAGATTAGAAAACAAGATCAATTACCTAGATGGCAAAGTTAAGGTAGCATGCTTAAAGTAATCTCGATAAATAATTAAGTGATCCTAAATCTTTATACCTTCAAATACCCTTGAGTCTTTTATATTATTTCATTCATAAGCCAAAAATTTAGCCTCGCATTATATGCCTATGAATGCCATTTTTGATAAAAAAAAATGGCTCATTTGTATTGATGAGTTCTAGCTTTAAATGAGAAGGAGAAAAATGCTTTTGAATAAAACTTGACTTCTTTATCTAGGGATGGCAGTGGGTCGAGTACAAAATATGTACCATGTCCAACCCGTCCATTAATTACCTTATTAAAATACCTTAATGGGTAATGGGCTAAATATGAGTAAAATAATATTATCCATTTATGTTAATGGATAGTTGATTCATAAATATGAGTGTTTTTTTAATCCTATTAATGCCCATTTTTTATTCATTAATATAAAAAATACTAAAATATAAAATTGTAAAATAAAAAACAAACAAGAAGCAATTTCTCTTATTGATGAATCAAAAGGATAATGTGTGTGTGTGTGTGTGTGTGTGTGTGTGTGCGTGTGCGCGTGTTATGTGCGAGTTCTATTTTTTTTATTTGTTGTTTTTACTTTAAATATTTTCTTAATGTAACTCCTTTAATATGATTTCGATCAATTTTGTGAAAACAAGTGGCATGTGAATTGTAACTTCAAATAATATTGATATGTGCTAAAATTTTAGTTTAAAAAATAAAAAATTAATAAAATGAAATTGAAAAATAGAAAATAATTTTTTTTAACACGTGTCAATCCACTCGTTATTTATTGCCGGAAAATTAAAAAAAAATCTTGTCAAAAAAGCACGTTAAGAAAATATTTATAGTAAAATGACCAAATAAAAAAAATAAAGATAGCACATTAAAAAATATAAAAGTACGGTGACAAAATATGGAGTAATCTAAGAAAAAGACATGATTAGTTTATTATAATATCAAACTTGTTATTGTTTTAGTTTTGTATGAAGCAACTTTCATTTGGTAACATACTATTTCATGCAACAATGCCAACATGATTACATTTTTCCGAAGCAGTAATTTCTCAAAAATTAAAGATTAAGTGCTAAAATCCTTTCGGTGTACATAAAGCACAAAATAAAAATATGATCAATTATATAAAAAAATCTTACTATATAAAAAGAGTTTAGATGAAAAGAGTCCGTAACAAAAAAAAAAAAAATTCAATAAAAAGAATTTGAAAAAAAAGTCTTTAATTTAAGGAAAAAAATTAACAGGTAAACGGTTATGAATGGGGTATGGGTAGGGTATGATATAATGGGTATGAGTCGGGTAAATAAATAGACAAGTGATTTAGTGGGTAACGAGATAGGATAATGGATATAGTATTTTTTAGTGTATAGGGTATAGGATTGTCTTAACGGACCGGGCACCTAGTCCATTTTGATCCTTATATTTGTGTATTACAAACCATAATTTATGACATTGAATCATGAATTTTCATTAATTAACCGGGGGTAAGAAATGAATGAATCGAGTCTTTCTAGGCAAGATCGCACATTTGAGCCAAACATTGTTTAAAAACTCTTTTAATTCCCGAAATTCATCAAAGCCTCGCGCTCCGGAACCAAACTTTTGTCAACTACCTATCAAAAAAGATGAATCATTTTCAAAAATTTTATGATCTAAAGACATCTTGCTCATCTTAGCCTCAAAATGGATCACCATGAAAATTGTATCTCGATATTGCACGATACGTTTTGGCTTTTGATCAAATAAGTCAAATATTTTTTTGAATGAGATTACTTTCTCATGAAGATCTCAATAATTTCTCTTGAATAGTTCAACTTGCCATGATGAAAAAATTTTAAATAACTATCCCGATCTATGAAACTCATAACAAGTGAAAATGATTTTCTAAAAATTCAAAAAAAAAAATCTCTAAAAAACAAGTTAACACCGTCAAGCGTAAACATCAAAAGAAAATGAACAACATAAACAATAACGAGTGAAAGATAGATCACAAATGAATGATCGCTATCAATACTTTAGAAACATGCTATGATTAGAATAGTCACAAAACTATGTAAATGCTAGAAGACCAAGCATTTTAACTTGTCTCCTATCAAGAACAACAAGGAGTTGATTTGAGTTATGGCCAAATATTCATTAGCGTGATCATTTGACTTTGCTTCTTCTATTCTTGATTCACCCAACACAATGTGATTCATGATCTTTCATCTCTTAAAGAACCATTGTTTTCACAAGTATGATTAGTCTTTAAAAAGAAAAACTCTTTTTTGGGTCTTATGCACGATCTCTATAATAGATGTCATTCATGAAATGTGATAATATATTGAATTGGGATATAATAACTTGATAAGGATCTTACTTAACTTGGTTTAGAAGAGGTTTGCCTCTATGAAATCTGTTATAAGGTTTCTTATGACAAATTATAGACGGTAGATAAAAGGCCACCTCAACCATTTTTAAGCCTAGATTCTTGATAAGTGCTAGCAGAAATCTAGACATTTGAGAACGAGTACCAAAAAGGACATAAAAAACGGTGATCACTTGTTTAGTCGGAGGAATGAACACCACTCAAATGATGTAGGTAATGATCAAAGTAGCCATCCCAATGAATACAAGAACAAAGGCAAAATAAAAATTATAAATATACAAGCTCGAGGAAAGTAGCTGGTCTAGAACTTTGAACCCATTCAACCTAGAAGATGTATAAATGAAGAGAAAAAAGGAAAAAACCTAAGTTTTGGCAGGTGATGACCTATGCTTTTCTAAAAACTCCACGTTAGTTTAAGTCAAAATGGTACATTATATCTTGTCAAAAAGTATGATCTATCGCGTCATTTAAAATCGATGTGGTCTATCATGTTAGTCTAAGTCGGATTGATTGATCATATTTTGTCATAAAACATGATCTATCGTGTCTTTTTAAACCAACATGGTTTGTTCCATCGGCTTAGATTAGGGTGGTTTGCCACATCTTTGCAAAATCGACATGGCTAGTTACGTCTTTTCAAATCGGTGTGGCTAGTTGCGTCCCTCTAAATCGACATGGACAATCATGTCTTTTCAAATAAATGTGGTCAATCATATCTCTTTAAATTAACATGGTAAGTCATATCCCTTTAAGTAGAAGTGTTTAGTTACGTCATTTCAAATCAACTTGGTCGGTCATGTCCCTTTAAATTGAGATGGCCAATCGTGTCCCTCCAAGTCGACATGGTATGTCACGCTCCTTTCAAATCAATGCGATCGGCTCGTCCCTCTAAATTGACATGATTAGTCATGTCCCTCAAAGTCTCGCATAATCGATCATGCCCCTTTAAATAAACGTAGTCGATCACGTCCCTTTAAAGTGACATGATCGGTTATGTCTATCCAAGTCGGCGTGGCTAGTCATGTCCCTTCAAATCAACGTAGTCGGTCATGTCCCTTCAAATAAACGTAGTCGGTCATGTCATTTCAAATTGACATGTTTAGTCATGTCCTTTCAAATCACCTTGATCAATCACGTTTTTTTAAATCAACGTGATCAGTCATATTCTTTTAAATTGACATGGTAAATCAAGTTCTTTTAAAATTGAAAAGAAAAACAAAAAATAGAAACCGAAAAAAATGACACCAAACTATTTTTAAATTTTTTTACTAAATTCTAAAAAAAGAAGAAGATATAATTCAATAATATAAACCCCTAAGATAATAAATAAATGTGATTATATATTCGATAACTAGGACACAATATTATCTAATAACAAAATACTCTATAAATTTGAAGAAAAAATAAATCCATTAAACCTTCTGCGAAGGCAAACTTCTAAATTCCAGTACCTTCCCTTTCCCAAAAGGATAGTAGAATTTACCCCAAAAGCTTTGTCCGATTAATAACCCTATGCGGTTCGTTGGCCCTTCCAATCATGCTTCAAGCTCACGTGAGCAATACTTCCTCAACCAAATCCACGCGTCGCTCCAGTAAAACGAGTACACATCCACCTATTTTCTCCGTTGCTGTAGCTGTCTAGTTTCCTCAATGGCGCCTCACAAATTAAAAGCCTGATGGCATTCTCGATATTTCAAGAAACATCAGGACCAATTATATAACACATAAAAGGAAAAGTAAATTAAAGCTTTTAATTTTTCCTTGCGCAAATATACAAATTTAGCAAAAATCGAGCCGCTTAACTACCACACATCGCTCTCACCACTTAAAATCCTACATCTACACGTGTCCACGAACTCTTCTGCACCGTCGATCTCGTTCATCGTTCCCCCGAAATTCTAGATTTTATTTATGAATCCCACGGCAGATAAATAACCCACGCCATTAGTTAATATCCGTCGGTGTCACATATTCCACGTAGCATAATAGAAAGGACTGGAAATATTTTCTCTATTTTTATAACTACTTTAATTTTATTTTGTTATTATTTTCGAATCAAAACCCTTCTTCTCGTGAAACCAAAAGAAACCCTAGCTCCTCTCCGTTTCCCACGTTAACCGAAAAAAAAACCCCCCTCTAATTGCAAAAAAATTAGTAACTAAAATCAACAATTTGGTTAGGGTTTTAATTCGAAATTCATAGATTCACATACTGATCCATGTTTCACGAACGTGATCTTCATATTTCTCTCGAGAAATCGAATTCTCGCGATATTTCAATCCAGGTACGTGTTTGATTTTGCCCCTTTTTGTTATTTGGTCAATTCAGGGTTAGTTTGTGATAGTTAGGGCTTGATTGTTATGATTTGTATGTTAATGTGTGAATTTTGGTAATTTAGAGGGTAATTTTGGCGATTTTGTGTGGTTTGGTGTTTTTACAGATCTGAAAATGCATGATTGGGATTCGAAAATTAGGGGTTTGGGTTTTTGGTGTTTGGATTGATGGAAAATAGAGTAGGAAAGTCTCATGGAGTGGAAATTCCTAAGAAATCGAGATCTTTGGATCTTAAGAGTCTCTATGAATCTAAAAATTCTAAAGGGGATCGAAATAGTAATAATTTGAAGCGGAAGGGTGGTGGTTTAGTTGGTGATGAAAAGGGACACGAGAAGAAGAAGAGTAGAAAGGAGGCATCTATTAGTCGTTTTAAGAATGTTAACAGTAGCTATAGAAAGAGTTTAAAGGAAGTGTATAATGGGAGTGTGAGTTCAGGTCTGAAGGATTCGAATTCTGGGTTGATTCAGAGATTGGCCGATAGTAATGGGTTCAGTGGTGCTTCATTACCTTTGGAAGATGGGGCTGTTAAAATCCCTAGGCGAAAACGGGGGTTTGTGGGGCGAAGGAAGGTGGAGAATGGTGGTGAGGGGTCCAAGCTGGCAGGAGGGTTTGGCAGGGAAAAGGGCATTGCTGATCAGGCCGATAAGTTAACTGGTGAAGACGAGGGAAAATGTTTTGAAAATGGAAGTCAAGAGCTGCAGTCAGTAGGTATATCTGGTGGCGAAGTAGGCGATGCTGATCAGGCTAGTAAGTTAACTGGTGAAGATAAGGGCAAGCAGGTTGAGCCTTCAGAGGCAAAACAGAAGAAAGGTTCGGATGATTTGAAAGAACTTGGAAATGGTGAATTGAATGGAAGTAGGCATTTGGAGGAAGAAGACAGGCATTATGGTAATTCAGTTGCAACAAGGAGAGATTCATCTTCAAAGAAGTCTCATAATGGCCCTTTGGTTGATAATAATGCTGGTTCATCTCTGAAAAAGTCACTGAGGACGCGGAGTAGGAAAAAGAAGGATATGATGTCTGATAAGAAAAGAACCAAGGAGTCTGACCCATCTGTTGATACTTCTATAAAGATCAGTGATGTTTTGCATGATGAGGATGAGGAGAATCTCGAAGAGAATGCAGCAATGATGCTATCATCACGATTTGATCCAAGCTGCACGGGCTTTTCTTCAAACAGCAAAGCCTCAGCTTCACCATCTAAAAATGGTTTCCGAGAATTTGTTGCTTGTGGCTCTAGCTATGTCTCTGGATCTGAATCTTCATCTGTTGATACCGATGGTAGAGTATTACGACCTAGGAAACAGAACAAAGAGAAGGGTAACACGAGGAAACGACGCCATTATTATGAAATTGTCTCTGGGGACTTGGATGCCCATTGGGTGTTGAACCGGAGAATCAAGGTCTTTTGGCCTCTGGACCAGAGTTGGTATCATGGTCTTGTTGGTGACTATGACAAAGAGAGGAAGCTTCATCACATTAAATATGATGATCGGGATGAGGAATGGATTAATCTCCAAAATGAAAGATTTAAACTCTTGTTGCTCCCCAGTGAAGTTCCAGGTAGGACTCGAAGGAAAAGGTCAGGGACAAGAAACAAGCCCTCTGATGGAGGGAAAGAAAAACTGATGTCCAGAAAAGAAAAGAGGGACTTGATGACAGAGGATGATAGCTACGAAGGGGCTTATATGGATTCGGAGCCTATCATCTCGTGGTTGGCTAGATCTACTCGTAGAGTCAAATCTTCTCCTCTTCATGCCTTGAAGAAACAGAAAACATCCTATCCATCTTCTAATATGACACCATTGTCTTCCCTAAACAGGGATAAAGGCAAGTTATCTAGTAATTCTGCTTCATCAGACAGTGTAGCCACTGATGGAAGGAGTGATTTGCCTGTGATGGAGAGCCCTGTTTTCCCCAAAGGTAGCAAGGTCCCTATTGTTTATTACAGAAAGCGGTCTCGCAAGAGCGATATGTTTCGTCATGAATCCAAGGGCATTCATATTTCTGGCAGTGTACCAGAGTCTGATAGTTCTCTTGTGCCTCTTACTGTTGCTTTAGGGGCTTTGAAAGAGCATGATACTTCTCTTGGAAGATTGGATCTTGATGAGGATTTGGATGGGCTGGATGCTTTTGATTGTTTATGGCCAACTGGTAATGCAGGGTTGTTAAGATTAAATATTTCTGCCTTAGAATCAAGAGGGTTCAGGTTCAAGTTAAGCTTCCTGTTGCCTTCTGTCCCAAATTGTTACTCATTTGGCTCAGAAAATGTCTGGTTGATCCATGCTGTGCTACTGCTTCAGTATGGTGTGCTTATGACTACATGGCCAAGGATTCATATGGAGATGCTTTTTGTTGATAATATGGTTGGATTGAGGCTTCTCCTGTTTGAAGGTTGCTTGAGGCAGGCTGTAGCTATTGTTTTCCTGGTCTTGACAGTATTTCATCAACCTAATGAGCAGCAGGGGAAATGTGCTGACTTCCAGTTGCCAATAACTTCAATCAGGTTCAAATTCTCTTGCACTCAAGATTTTAGAAAGCAGTTTGCCTTTGCATTCTACAGCTTCTCTGAAGTGGAGAATTCAAAGTGGATGTACCTGGACCATAAGCTCAAAAGGCATTGCTTGCTTTCTAGGCAACTACCTCTGTCTGAATGCACTTATGATAACATTACGGCATTGCAATGTGGAACAAATCGGCCTTTCAGTCCTTTGGTCTACAGTGATGCCACCTTAAATAAGGTACTTTAACATTATATAGTTAAATATGGTTTTGAAGGTGTTGTGACTTTTACTTTTGCTTCCAGAATTTTTCCCTGGAAAAGAAATTCCTTTCCAAAATATCCTTCCCTTTCTTTCTTTCCTTATCTATACAACTGCCTGCTTGTTTCCATTTCTTAACATATACACCTTGTGGCTTTTTATTATCATCTGTTACATTATTTGTCATTCATGTTTTGATTATTGTAATTATTAAACTGATGAGACCAGTAGCTGCAGCATAGTTACCCTTGTTTGGGACAGCTGTGCAGTCCTTTGCTCTACAATTCTGAATGGCTACGCAGTTTTTTTTTTTTTTTTCTTTTCATGATTGTTATTAATTGCTTTGATATTTAATGCTAACCAGGTTTTGCATGGGAGGTCTAGGCGGAGTATCAGCCTCATGGGGATCTCCAGAGATTCTACTTATGTTAATGTCAGTCAGTCTTCTGCTAAGCCTGACAAGAATCACAGATGTTTACATTCATTTGCGCTCTCTTTTACTGCTGCTCCTACTTTCTTTTTGGGTTTGCATCTAAAGATGCTCATGGAACATAGTGTGACACATGTTAACTTTCGGGATCATGATTCAATAGAGTATCCAGAAAAATCCAGTGGTTTGTTGGCTGATAACTACTGTAGCATAAAGGACTGCTCCAAAGCATGTTTAGATAGCATTCCTGGTAATGATTTCAAGGTTTTGTCGAGGGTTGCTGACTTTGATGGATGCATATCTCGTGCTACTAAACCAGAGTCACAAACTGTTGATGCCTCCATTTGCAGTGTCGGGGATTGGAAAAAGACCTTGTCAAACCAAAGTGGCAATGTAAATGTTGAAATTTCTGGAAGCTCCAAAGATCTTGGAGAATCGGGAAGTGGTGCAATTGTCCCATTGCAGAATTTGGAATGCAATCATTTGGAGTCACAACCGCGTGACTTGCTGCCAAGGCCATCAGTTAACAAAGATGAGACCAATACTGGTTCTCATGCTCTTCCGAATGGTATCACGGTTGAAGTTCCATCAGTTAATCAGTTTGACCAGCATGTTAATAAGGAATTGCACAGTGTTCAACAGCCATCTGATTTGTCTTGGAATATGAATGGTGGGGTTATTCCCAGCCCAAACCCTACTGCTCGCAGAAGTACCTGGCATCGAAATAGAAGTAGTTCTGCATCTTTTGGATGGTCTGACGGAAGGGCTGACTTTCTCCAAAACAATTTTGGTAATGGACCTAAGAAGCCACGGACTCAGGTTTCTTATGCATTGCCTTTTGGAGGTTTTGATTACAGCCCGAGGAATAAAGGACCTCAGCAGAAAGGGTTTCCACATAAACGAATCAGGACAGCCACTGAGAAGAGGACTTCTGACATTTCCAGGGGTTCTGAAAGAAACTTAGAGTTGTTGTCTTGTGATGCAAATGTGTTGATTACAAATGGTGACAAAGGATGGAGAGAATGTGGGGTGCAGGTTGTACTAGAGCTTTTCGATCATAATGAGTGGAGGCTTGGTGTTAAGATTTCAGGAACTACAAAGTATTCATACAAGGCACATCAGTTTCTGCAAACTGGGTCAACAAATCGGTACACACATGCCATTATATGGAAAGGAGGAAAAGATTGGACATTGGAATTTCCTGATAGGAGTCAGTGGGTTCTTTTTAAAGAGATGCATGAAGAATGCTATAATCGGAACATTCGTGCTGCATCAGTTAAAAACATTCCTATTCCTGGGGTCCGCTTGATAGAGGAAAATGATGAAAATGGAATAGAAGTGCCTTTTTTTCGGGGTTGTAAGTACTTTAGGCAGCTTGAAACAGATGTTGAGATGGCTCTGGATCCATCAAGGGTGCTGTATGACATGGATAGTGATGATGAACAGTGGATGCTGAAAAATCGAAGTTCAGAAGCCACCAATAGTTCATGGCAGGTTTCAGAAGAAATGTTTGAGAAGGTGATGGACATGTTTGAGAAGGCTGCATATTCTCAACAGCGGGACCAGTTTACATCCAATGAAATAGTGGAGCTTATGTCTGGAATTGGTCCCACAGAAGCCATCAAAACCATCCATGAATATTGGCAGCATAAGCGGCAGAGGAAGAGAATGCCTTTAATCCGTCATCTCCAGGTACCTTCATAAATTGCTGATTATTTTCCTTTTTTTTTTTTTTATTTGCGTTTTAGCTATGGGTGACATCATTTTTGGTCTCTTGTGCATCATAAGGTAATTGAGATTTGCCTTTTTTTTGGTAGAAGGTTAAGTATTTGGTTTTGATGATATAATCATTATTTTGAGGTTGTTAACAATAAAGAATTATATTTTATAAATCTGAGACATGAAGAAAAGTCATGCTTCTAAGAATCTATGAGGGAGAAACAAAACAAGTTTTGCTCTAAAAGGAGCCTTCAGAGCTTTAGTTGGGTGGTTTAATACTCATTGAAATAGATGAATAAGAATTAGATGAAGGACAAGTTTCTTGGTTAAATAATTTCGGTCAAGTTACATATTAGCTTAGGCGAGGAGCTAAATATTGAAGCAGCAGCATATAGGTAGACCTAATATTTTGGGTCTTGTTGACAAATTATAACTGGGAAAAATGAGCCTGGATAGAGTTTCAAAGGAAAAGATGAACTGCAATGTGGAAAGAGAGGAATAAAATTCCTAAAATAGGTTCTTAAAACATAAGGAAGAAGGAGTGGACAAGGTTGTTAATGGTTTTAATTGGTTAGAAGCTGTAATTTCTGCAGTTAGTTTTTTTTTTTTTTTAATGCAAACTTGTTTGTGACCATAACATGGTAAATGACGTGCGATCAATAACTCATGCGATGTATCATACATAAAACTCACCGTAAATAAAGAAAGCATTGCTAATTGTCTATTTTTCTCAATTACGTTGTCATAGTAACTCCACAAAATTATTTGTTATATACCCTGTGCTTGTACAGCTATTTTTGAGTGCTTTGATTTCGATAAGTCTCAGTTAAAAGGATACTTCAAAAAGATTAGTGCAAACAATATATCATTAGTTAAAGAACCTCAAATGCACATTAAGAGATGCAAAATTTTCCTTTAGGGTATAGAGGGATGTCTTTTCTCTTTGTTCTGTTGCTGGTCATCTCACTAGTAAAGATGTTTGATGGTGGATGCAATGGTCATGATGATGTCTGTGGATTACCAGAACCCAACAAAACCACCCCCACAAAAATAAAATAAAATAAAATAAAAAATAAAAAATGTACACCCAGCTGATCTAACCCACTTCATTAATTTGGAGGTGTTGTGCTGGTTATGGATGATCTCTTTTACTCCTTATCCATTGTGAATACAATAAATTGTTTCTTTGATATCCCTTCTATGTTTTGCTGTTAATGGGATATTTGGTTTGCAAAATTACCATGAGGGGGCTTTGGTTTTTGTCCAACCAAAATGAAGGGTGCAGGGGAATCTATGGTACTCCGTGTTTACTGATGTAGCTTTGTATGATTTTATGCTCTCATGACTGCTATTCTCATCTGTATTAGTGGAATAAAAGATCTATCATTTTGCTTTAATTTAACTCTGATTGTTTAGTCCAGCGTGCAACTTTGTCAAACTCGGTTTGTCTTTATAATGTGTCGTGTTTCCGGATAGCTAATTGTATGCTGATTTTTTTTTCCTGTTTAACATATTTTTAGTCTAACATGATGTGCAACTATGGGTTTTATGCAGCCGCCGCTTTGGGAAAGGTATCAGCAGCAATTAAGGGAGTGGGAACAAGCAATGACAAGAAGTAACACAGGCCTCCCCAATGGATGCAATGAGAAGGTTGTGCTTGCAGTCAAGCCACCAATGTGTGCTTTCTGTTTGAAACCTCGGGGTTTGGAAGTGCCTAACAAGGGATCAAAACAAAGGTCACATAGGAAATTTTCAGTTGCTGGACAAAGCAATGCTTTTGCCGGAGATCATGATTGCTTGCATCCTTATGGTAACTCTTTTTACCCATTGAGATTTTGACTAGACTTTTCTTTTTCCTCTGTTTCCCCTTCCTCAATATTCTTCTCAACTTTCTCCCTTAATCATATAATATTTGTTTTCCTAGGAAGAAGAACAAATGGCTTTGCCTTTGGGGATGAAAAGACCATATATCCAGTACATAATAATGAATCTTTTGATGATTCCCCATTACCTCAGATATCACCTAGGGTGTTTTCACCACAAGATGCTTGTGGCCCTGGATATTTCTCAATGACTGGTGATAGGTATGATAGAAATCGTCTCCAGAAACTTCGCAGGACCAAGTCAAAGAAACTTGGGACCTTTGTGTCTCCCTTTGATACACAGATGGCTACTTCATGTAATCAGAGAATGTTGGATCAGAGAAATGGATTTCATCGGTGGAATGCAGGTTTTTCTGACTGGCCTAGCCAGCAGCATCACCAGATAGATGGATATATGAAGCATGGCCTTGAAAAGTTGAATGGTTCAGATCTTGATGAGTTCAGGTTGCGTGATGCTTCTGGTGCGGCTAAGCATGCACTTAATATGGCTAAGCTCAAGAGAGAAAGGGCACAAAGATTGCTTTACAGGGCAGATCTTGCAATTCACAAGGCAGTGGTTGCTCTAATGAATGCTGAGGCGATCAAAACTTCTTCTGAGGACTTAAATGGTGATGGGTAGAATGAGAAAATGAGAAAAGCTACCTATGTGATGATAGGAATTTGCCAGCCCCTTCAGCTTTCATGTTTGCATCCGAAGTATCCAGTTATAGACTTCACTGTTTTTGCTGGAACAGAGTGGTGTTTCTTTTATCAGTGGCAGTGGCTTTTTGTCATTAGCCATTCCGGTGGGGTTCTAACAGGAGTGCTGTGGCATTTAGAGGGGAGAAAAAGGTTTTTTCTTTTTATTTTTGGCCTCTGCCTCTGCCTCATTAATCTGTCATCAATCCGGCAGTTTTGATTAGCAACTTACCAGATCTTATACCCACTCGTTTTTTTTGTTTGTCCTGGTGGCTGGTTCACCTGCACTGATGCTGCTGGTAAAGGGGTGTGTGGAGTTTTGGCTGCAGCTCTTTGTACAGATTTTTGTTTCCTTTCTCTTTTTGTTTTTTTCCTTAACCATGATATCAAAGTAGCAGTTGGCCGAAATAATACGACACCCCCAGATTCGACTTACAAGTTTCCATCTGATTCAATCTTGGAGGCATTCACTAGATAGATATGTACCAACAGAACCCGTTATCCATGAAAATAGAAGAGGAAAAATTCTGTAAGTAATTTCTTATAATCTTCTATAGAGATTCATTAGAGGGTTAGAATCTGTTTTCTGGATCCTTGTTTCATACCCTTGTCAATATTTAGTTAGGTGTCTTGAGCAACAGAGAGAGTTGGAAAGTTTGTGGCCTTTACCTCTCTGATATCTTCTCATATTCTTGTTAATATTTAGTTGTTTCAAGCAATAAATAAACACGTAGAAGTTCATGGGCAATTTTTGAGGTCTCTCTCCTCTAGTTACGTGCTTCCTTTTCTCCTCTTACCAAATCGAAGATTATCCATTCTGGATATGACCCAAAACTTAACAGAGAAACCTAAAAATGTAGCTTACAGAAATGTTTTGCAAATCAGTGTTTGAACAGTTAAACTTACATAGACGTGTTTCAAGTTCACTTTGAGATGTTATAATGCCATGGACATGAGTCTTTGTTAGGAAGTAGTGATTGCCGGTTTCTTTTAAGTTGCGTGGTTGTGACATTTGATGGTGATATAGAAATGTTTTGCAATTGGTATTTTTTTTTTCCTGAAGATATGGTCTGTTGGGGTGGTAATGCCTGACAGCTCAATGAATTTTTCCTGCTCGCACATTTTCGAAGTTCTCTATCCACCATGCAATATGTTTTGATTTTTATTGCTTAATTTTGTTAGATTTGTTGTATACTTTCTGATGCCCTTCTAAATACTGAAGTTAACCAATTCCAGATTTCAGACTTCGTTATTGTTTCTCTAATGAAGGTGAAGGGTGCGTTTGGTGATGTTAGGTTGGCATGAGGATGGCCAGGACCTGCCGCCTCATGCCTACAATGGTGAAGTGAAACCAAAGCATGCGTGGATATTGTAGATATGAAACTTGAATTGTTTGGCTTTTTTTTTTTTTTTCCAATTAGTTTCATGGAAGTTCCTTGTGACCCGTACCATTTTATGGTGTATTCAGGATGTTAATTCAAAACCTTTGAATTTCTGCCATCAAGAGCGTCAATGGACGTCAATGTATGACTGGATCAATGATCTCTGTTCTCTATTGTTGAGTCTATATGATCCCATATTTGCCCTTACAGTGAATGAATATCGTGACTGCATTTAGGGATGGCAATGGGGCAAGGCGGGGATGGCCATCCCCATCCCTGCTCCGTACCCCTTTCGAGGCACAATTTCTTTACCATCTTTGCCCCAAATGGAGCAAGGGTGGGATGAGGTTTTTAAAGGCAAAATCTCTGTTATGTGCTTCGTTCGGGGTGTATTTTATGTACCATCTTCATTTCAAATGGGATGGGACTGGGTGGGATCCTGTCGGGGCGGGTCAGAATGCATCCCTAACTGCGTTACTGCTTTTATTCTAAACTCCTTCCATTTTGCTTTTCTAACCTGGGCTGTAGGGTGGTTATCAAGTCGAATCGTATTGCCTTCAACCACTGACCTTAGCCAGTCTTTCATTGAAGTTAATCAAACCAAAACCCAAAAACCAGAAATGGGATAGCTATGTGATGCAATTTGCTGGTTTTTAGTCCAATCATTTTGGCCAAAATTATAATTAGGAAAACTGAATTTAAAGGATAGCTAACGTCTTCATCGCCGCTTTTGAGATTATTAGGAGCATGTAAAATATGTATCGTCACAAATTTTTGTTCTTAAAAAAAAAAAAAAAAAACCAACATCCTTGTCAATTCGGTCCAATATTCGAAAAATTAGAACCTGCCACACACCACCACGACAGAATGTTTGAGAGTCAAGACCAAGATCGGGCTAACAACAACAAAACAATCGAACCCTAAAACAACAATTGAACCCTAAAACAGCAATTGAATAGCAAAATATTGCTGGACAACACAAAACGATGAAGAGCAAGCTACAAAGATGGTAGCTAGCATAGTAGGTAAAGTTCTTTATTATTATTATTTTTTTAATTTGTAATACCTTTTCCAATAATATATTTTATATATAATCAAAAGGGTGAATTATAATAATCTGAGGCATATTGGCATTTGGAATGGACAGAAAATATTTTTCTAATATATTAAAGATTTGGATAAACTTCTTCCAACTTTAATAAAATATAATAAAAATCTTCTTATAACTAAAATCGTCTTACTATTTTTAAAATTGCCCCATTTAACAATAAAGACATTCTTTGATTAAAAAAAAAGGATTTTGTTAACATTTTCTTTCTTTTTGATAGTTATATTATTTCAAAATGGAAAATGAAAGATTAATCTAAATAAAAAATTACTAATAGAGAGAGAAAGAAAAAAATCATATAAAATTTCATTTAATTACATCTACAATCATTAAGTGTGTTCCTAGAAAATTTAGGTCGAAAGATCGAATGGTTAGGTATATACACCATTATCTTTTTACAATAACTTAGGGAGTTATTTTACTGGAGCTCCACCGTAAGCTTCTATTAAAAATAATTATATAAAATAAATCCTAATAATTATATATCAAAGTTAATAATAATAATAATTTTACTTAATTAATCAGGTCACGGATTGGAGATGCAAAAAATCTTCTCCGGTCAAATTGGGTAAATTAGGTTTTTGATTTTCCCGTCGGGTCAAGGCTGTTAGTAGTAGCTAGATCGGGCCTAATTCCCATCTCTATCTGGCCCAATAAGACCAAAGCATGTTTTTTGAATTTAAATCAGCAAAAACTCAACGGCCGAAAAAAAAAAAATTAAGCATCGACCAATGCGTCGGGCTCGGCTATTTTCCCTCCACAAATTTCTCTCGAATAAGTTTTTCTTTCCACCGAATTCTGTTATGTATTCCCATCCCCATTTTCCATTTCTAGGGTTTCTCTTCTTCAACTTCTCTCTCCAGATTCTCAAATTCTTAGAACGCTGCGGTTCATTTAACGATCAATCCTTCTTGCTTAATTATCCGGTGCCGGTTTCAAGAAAAAAATGACGAAGAAAGAAAAAGAAGAGGAGAGGATTGAGAAGATAATTCGCGGTCTTCTCAAACTCCCTGAGAATCGTCGTTGCATTAATTGCAATAGTTTGGTAATTTTCCATCCATCTAATTTCTTCTTCTTCTTCTTCTTTTAACTCATTTAAATAATTTAACTAATTATTTCTGGTTTTTTAGGGACCGCAATATGTTTGCACAACTTTCTTCACATTTGTTTGCACAAGTTGTAGTGGAATTCAGTAAGTATATATTGATTTTTTTGTTATGTGTTGAGTTTTCTGTTATTCAGTATGAGATATGAATTTAATTTTGATTAATTTTTCTAGTCGGGAATTTACGCATAGAGTTAAATCAGTTTCGATGGCGAAATTCAACGCGGAAGAAGTTAGTTCTCTTCAAGCAGGAGGGAATGAGGTTGTGCATGAAATTGAATACTACTTAGCTAAAAATGTCTGTCTTTTTTTATTGGGAATTTTGTTAATTTCTTTGTCTAACTTGCTTTTTTTTCCCCTAATAGAGAGCGAGGCAAATTTATTTAAAGGAATGGGATCCGCAGCGTAACAAGCAACCTGATAGCAGGTGGTTATGTTTATATGCAATATATTTATTTTTAAGAGAAATGCTCAGCATGGTTGCTGAGTGACATGATTGTGCAATCTTCATTGTGTACGGAAAGCACAAGATTGCACATTCGTGGTTGCAATTACTCTGCTTGGCAATTGGAATTCGTTTTTTGTTTTTTAATAGTGGGGAATTTTTGAGTAATGTGTTCTGATAAATTTAGTTTTTTTGCTTCTAGTAATCTACAAAAGCTTCGAGATTTTATCAAGCATGTTTATGTGGATAGAAGATACACTGGTGAAAAAAGTAATGAGAAACTCCCACGGCTGAGACTGGTAAATCCCTCTAAGATAGATATAGTTTCATACACTCAATTTCTTCGTTTTGTTAAATTTTGGTCAACATTTATCAGTATGTAATAGTGAAAACAATGAATTCAACAGCTTGGATGACATGAATTGGAATGTTGGGAATAATAGCAAGTTTGTTGAGTGTGCTCCAATTAAAGTGACCATAATTTGTTAAAGGTTCTTGTTGCTGTTATGCAGACTGACAAGGAGGAGTACAGTGAGAGCAGGAGGGTTGTTTTATATTCTGGTGGAACTAGAAGTCCGAACTATGAAGATAGACATGGACGGAGTGAAAGATCTGGTTTTAGTGGAAGAACTGATGACAAGACTTTCAAATATTATTACGATGAAAGAAGAAGTCCTCGTTATTCCCAAGAAAATTCAAGATATGGAGGTTTTAAGAGAAGTCCTACCCGCTTTGAGGTTGTTGATGACAGGTTTCGAGATGATGGAATGCGAATTGGTAGGCAGTCTGATGTCCACCCATTTGCACACAGAGAGTCCAGGTTTGGGAACAGTTCTTCTGACATTCAAAAGAACAAGCATCAGTCCGGCTCCAATGCCCCTGTGGTATGCCATCTTAAAGATATTCTAGGGGAAAATCTTCTGCCTCTACAGGTTGGCGAGCAGTCTAAAGCATTGAATGGGAAGGATTCAGATGGTTCTGTGCACAGTCAGGTTTGGCAATTTCTAAATTGATCTGGTAACAATAGAATGGCTGAGTATGCTTACTTTATGTAACAAAATCTTTATTAACCATGCCAGTCAATTCTCGTGAGGACTGAGGTACTGTGAATTTTTACAAACTTGCATTTTGTAATTTTCTGCAAATCACAATCATATTTACTGTCAGTTCTTCTTGTAGTTTATATACATTCCAGTCCTATGAAATTCTTAGTGTTCCTCATTGCAGATGCCCACTTCTTCCAGCTCCATGGCATCTGCTGATGGGAATCCTGTGCAACAGAAAAGTCACAATTCAGAAAACTTGGTTGATTTAAATGCCAATTCCAAGTCCTCTGTTACTGCTGCAGCACCACCGGCACAGGAGAATCTTCCGTCCAGTGAAGGAGGCAACTGCTCCTCACAAGAATCCTTTGGAAAGGAGAACATACCTCCGGCCCCAAAACCAAATATTTTGGAATTTTTATTGATGGAATTGTCAGTTCCCTCAGTTACTCCTGCTGACAATACGTCAGAAATACCAACTAATGATAATCCTTCTTCAGCTGTGTCTGGAGAAGATATACTCACGAGTAGTGTTGCTTCAGCAGCTGGGCCTTCGGGGCAGATGTTAGCATTACCAAGCAGTGATGTTGCTTCTGCAACTGCATCTGGAGGCAGCATGCCTGCCGACGGTATTTCATCAGCTGTACCTGTGGCACAGATGTCAACTTTAACTGATAGCACTGGTGCTTCTACAACTGCATCTGGAGGCAACATGTCTGCTGCAAGTGTTTCACATGGTGAACCCGTGGAGAAGATGTTAGCACTGCCCAGAAGCGCTGGTGCTTCTACAGCTGTGTCTGGAGGCACCATGCCTGTGGGAAGAGTTTCACCAGCTGCATATGTGGTGCAGCCGTCAACTTCATCTGGGATCAGCCTGCCTGCAGGCGACTCTTTACCATCTATTGCTGTGGAGGAGACATTAAAACTAGTCGATGCTTTTGATGCATCCACAATCCCTTCAAATACTTCTTTGCCAGCACAACCTTCTAATGGAGTTCCTACACAAACTGCACTTGATAACAGTGGTGACTCAACTTTTGAGGTTCTTGACGGGCAACAGATATCCACCATGCAGCAACAACGGTCCTCTACACTGCCTGCCGATAGTGGTTCTACTGGACAATGGACTGCTAATACACCAGCTGGAGCAGTAAATGACCAGGTTAGTTTTAGACTTAATTGTGAGTTTCAGGAGTTTGAGGAATACCTAGAACCATGTTATTCCAGAGTCCAAGGTTTTTTTTTTTTTTTTCAAAAAAAACTCTATCCATAAGATATAATACTATGTTCTGGAGTATCCACATATGAACTTTCGTGTCTCAAATATCTGATGTGAACTGTTACTTCACTTTCGTCCCCACAGGCCACTTCTGATGATCATTTTCCAGATCCATTGTTCAATGAAATGATGACTCCAACTTTGGCTAAGATAGTTGATAATTAATAAGTGGAATCAAAATGGTTGCCATATTTTCTTTTTTCTGTGTTCATTTTATAGTTTTAAGTTTGTTATGTTCTCTCTTCTTAAAGAAATCCTTTGCCATGTCTCACATACATCATGTGTACATGCCTGTGTGGGAATGTTAATTTCAGTTCTGTTTGTAACTTTTGTGCTTGTTCTTCAAATTTGCAGTTATTGACTTCATCAAATGTTCCTAGTGCCCAGGGACCTCCAGATTTCCTGGGTGAATACCCTTCTCAAAGTGTCTCAAAACCAGCCCAAGAATCCAATTCTGAAGCTAAATCCCAGCATCTTCCATCAGAAACAAATTCTAGTGGAAGAAAGGAACTTCCAATGGTGGTTGCCTTGCTTTACATGGTGCCAGCTGTTTCTCAAATTCTTCTAATGGTATAAATTCAATTTTCTGCAGGACCTTTTTTCTGGAACCTATTCACCACCTCCAGGCCCAATTCCAGGTTGGCAAATTTGTCCACCTTATGGCACAGGGTTTAACATGCAGCATTATCGTAATGCAATGGTATGTTATGCACTGAATGATAATCAGACTTTGGTTTTTCCCTTGAAACATATAGATGCTGATGACCTTTTATCGGGTTCTTTTACAGCTGGTGCCAGCATATCCCAACCCAGCAAAATCAACAAACCCATTTGATCTTAATGGAGACACCACTTCAGCACAAGCCCCACCAGTATGTACAACACTCAAATTGATATGATCATGCTTCACCCTTTCTTCTCCTACCTCTTTTCTTTTCTGCTACATTTATATTGAGCTCTTACTTAGCTTTATAAGATCAAACTGTGGTTATGTAGGCCTGTATGCGTTCTTCTACAATCTCCATGACTTGGACATATCATGTGTCTTTGTACACTTTTGATGTGTATCTAACTCACACCATGTACAAGTAATGGTCTCCTCGAATTTTTCTTAGATTAGCATTAAAAACAAGTCTGCAGATTGAAAAATATGATTCAAGAAGCCAACAGAAATTCAAATAAATTCCACAAGACAGGGAGCCAAACTATGAAGTTCTATATCCTAATATTACTTTCCCCTGTCTGATAATGATAAATTCACCGATACTTATAACATATATAGATGCTATTTGCATAGAATAACCTTTGTAGCCATGCTATGGATCTGGATGTATTTTATCATTAACATATCGAGGCCTGTTGCAAGATTAGAAAGGATATCAACTACAAGCAATATTTTTGTTCTTGTTCAGAGCTAATGCAAGGCTTTTTTGTTTCTCCTGAACTAAAATTTTTAATCAAGCATAGGCCTCTTGTGAAATTTCTAAAAATATACACTCCTTTTGATGCAGTTTCCTTCCATGGGAAATTTGCATGGTGCACTCCCAATGCATACTTCTGCAATGCCTCCACAGTCCCTCTCCTTTGCATCAGCCATGCCTTATGGTAAATTCACTTCTGTGTATCTTCAATATCTACCGATAAGTGATCCTCATCTGGAGCTCATATTTAATTGCTATATCTTAGGTGGATACGTGGGACAACAAGCATATATGAATTTGCCTCATTCCAGGTAACATTCTCTGTCCTCCTCAATCGTCATTTTCTTTCAAAATAATTTCTTTTCACCATTTGGTTATCTTTATTATTCAGTTCACCAGATTCCACCTCGTCATTTGATCTCATTTGCTTATTGGCTCTTATATATAGAACTGACTTCCCAATTGACTGGTAGGATAGGAGGGGGAGAGTCAAAAATATGCGAAGAATAGGATTCATACAATGTACACTGTTTCAAAGCTGCATGGTCTTTATATAGCACAGTGGTGTTCTTCAAAGGATCATCCTACAAGGCTCCCTATTCATTGAAAATATGGGGTGGGCATGGCCATCACATATGCCTTTTCCACCCCCAAAACATCCAAAACCATATTTTGCTGATGTGTAGACAACAAAAGCATAATGCTTTGTCTGCTCTCTTCATATGTCCATGATTAGGTTCTATGGCACCTGATGATAGATCCTCTCACATGGAATAGAAATAAGTCATACTTTGTTGAATATTGTTTCAGACCACAAGGACCTGGCAACTTTGGCATTGAGGGAGTGCCTTTTGGGTCATTGAATATGGCTCAACAACCAACCAGCGGACACTTGCTTCCGACCTTCCCAAGTTCTCATCCTTCAAAGGGAGGAAATCCATTTGGATAGATAAGGTTCAAAATTTAGCTGTAGACTCTTAAGTTTTCAGGGCAAAAATCGGCCTTCCTTCCTGTCGAAGATCAAATGGGAACAAGCTGGCTGAATGAGGTCTCGTCTTCTGTACGTCTGGTGAAGAGGATCATAAACGGCTACAGAAGAGCATAGAACTGACCATTTTGGACTAAGTTATATTGCCAGAATCCTGGTATCTATACTTATTACCCATCTGCTGTTTTATGTTCACGTGGTGGATGCTGTCATTTGTTACAGGTTGATGTTATGGTTTATATACTCCACCGGAGCTGGCTCCTTTCAGATGTTCTTTAATTAAGAACGCATTGAAGAAAAAACATGAAATCGTAGTAGTTCCTGTATTGTAATTAGGGAATGTCATGTAAGTGATCTATATCACAAGTAGTTAGAAGCTTTTTTGAGCTAGCGCTTGTCCTTCAAATTTGGTTGAAGACAAACTTAGAGCACCCAACAATCATTTTGGTTGCCAGGATCTAACAAATGCGAACAAGAATGTCTCAGTGAATCATTTGGCTATTCTAACAAATATCTGAATTCTGATGTAGAACATCTACTAGTATTTTTCCAAGTTAGAAAATAAGAAGTGCAATACAAGAGACTAAAAAGTTATTACCGATAATTCGTTTCATAATTGGCAACTGAAAAAATATTAGCTTATGGATGTTGGAAACGCATAGCGGGAAGATTTAATACTCCAATACACTTACTAAAAATTCACAGAGTTCACTCATGGATCTTGAGATTGCCATATGGAATTCCACGAAGCTGTAAAGTTTAGCATGGTTAGATTTTATACCAATTTCTTAGTTTAACAAGCACGAGCACCGCAATCCCACATAAAAAGCCAAGTGCTGCAGGAACAGCAGTACATATAACCATAAAGGAATCCTCCTGATGATATATATATAATTTTCTGTTTTGGAAGCAACCGTGCACTGTCTGTCTGACGCCCAAAACTCTCACAATCTTCTGGACTTGCTGCCTTTGGATCAAATCATCAAAAGGCTTACAGTCAGGAAGAGCTAAGCCTTGTTTTATTCAACCTGCTAGAATGTAGGACATGCTTTGAAGTGACTGGTAACTGAATATGCTGATTTTCTTTGAGGGCTGAAGCTAAATTTTCTGCCTTCTACTTATCGATGCATTTGGCTAAAGCTGCTACATCGAAAATTGACAGGTTTGTGCTCCTCAAACGATGAGGAGTTGTCGGATGAGCAGCATCTCTAATTAATAACACATTGTTCCAGCAGCTTTGTTGTAGGGAAACACAATCATATATGATGTTTCTTTGTATCTTTTACGATTCTCTCATCAGTTTAGGAAGAGACTTTCTCTGCTTTATGGTACATATTCTTTATCATATCACTGCTATGAGTTTCTCTGTACATAAATTTCAGGTAATAACCAGTTGTTCCTTTAAATGAGCTGTGTAGTATTATAAAGTAGATTATGGATATCTCAGAAATGGGATAAGTAGTAAATCACCTTCGTCTCAGGCTCAGGTTGATGGACATACCAAATCCAAATCAAGGCCTTTTCCGATTAGCTCATAAAGCGTGCTGTGAGCTTCAGTACTTAGATCAAAGTATAAGCATTTCCCAAGATCTGTCGACTTTTGGCAGGGGGAGTTCCTTCTAGGTCATTGAACATGACTCGAAAAACAACCAGCAGATACTTGCTCCCTAGATCCCCAAGTTCTTCCTTCAAGGGAAGGAACTCCGTTTGGATGGATAAAAGTTTGTAATTCAGTTATAGTCTCTCAATTTCTTTTTGCACAAAAATCTAGCTTCCTTGCAGTTGAAGATCAAATCGGAACAAGCTCGCTGAAGAGGTCTTGTCTCTTCGATCTCCGGCCAAGAAGGTCACAAACGACAATAAAAGAGCATAGAACTGACCATTCTGGACTAAGGCATATATTATTGCCATTATCATGATAATCATCCCTAGTCATCATTATTAATCTATCATCTTTTCGTTTCCTTTCTGCTCACCTGGTGAATGCTGTCATTTCTTACAGGTTGATCTTATTGTGTACATACTCCCCCGGAGCAAGCTTCTTCCAAGAAATAAAACGAAGAAAAAACATGAAACTGTTGCAGTTCCTGTTTTCTAGTTAGAGGATGTTGTTCCGATGATCTATAACACAAGGAGTTAGAAACCTGTTTCAGCTTGTGCTTGTCCTTAAATCTGGTTGAAAACGAATATGGAGCAGCTATCAATCACATTTTGGCTATATTGGCAAGGATCTAACAATTTGAACAAGAATGTCTCAGTGAATCATTTGGTTATGTTCTATCAAATATCTGGTAATTCATTTCTTAATTCACAACTGAAGAAATGACATAGTGATAATGGAAAGACATAGCTAGATTTAATACTCCAATCAACAACAACAACAACAACAAAGCTTTAATCCCTCACTGGGAGGCGATCTAATAAGCAATACTCCAATATACTTCTACTTAATGACAGAACTCACTCATTTGTTTTTTTAACTCACACACCCAAGACTACTAGCAGAACTATTCTGCTAGAATTTGAACCTGCGACTTTTTGTTGCAAGAGACCACTACTACTGGGCAATAAGCTCTTTGGTGACAGAACTCACTCATGGATCTTGAGATTGCCATGGAATTCCATGACACTGTAACGTTGAACTTGGTTAGTCCTTATGCCAGTTTCTCAGTTTAAGAAGCAGATGCACAGCAATCCCACACAAAAAGCCAAGTGCTGCACTTGAACCCATGAGTGAAACCCCAGTGCATGTAAGCATCACAAAGGCTTCCTCCTTTGTATTCATGTCTCTTGAAGCCATAGCCAACTCAATTCCAGCAAACAATAGCAACACCCCTAAGACTCCAACAGGAAATTGGTTCAAAACCATCACTAAAGAACTTCCTAAAACCAAACCCAAAACCAGTTTGGCAGCACCAAGTAGTGCCACACAACCTCCACTCCTACCTCCAAACTTGTACTGCCCAGCCAGTCCACCTGCACCGTGGCAACATGGCATGGCACCAAACCAACACCCCACCAAATTCATCACCCCTACAGACACCGAAACTGAAGTGGCCGAAAAATCCTTTCCAGGAAACAGATCAGATGACAACTTGCAGACAGCAATAACAGAATTTAGTACTGATAAAGGGAGCTGAGGAATTGTACCCTTGATAAACCCTTCCTTCCAAGCATGCTTAGAAATTTTCACAACTTCAATAGAAGATGGCCCAAATTTAAAATCATGCACCACTCCAGGCCGCCTTATAAATGCCAAAATCACACCCAACAAAAAAACCATAAAAGCAGAAGGAAGTGAGGCTATAATCTGCCTTAGTCCCCTCCTCCTAGGCCTTTCTCTATCACCCAAATTAATGTCATCAACCTCTCTTTCACTATCCTCCTCGCCAGCACCATTAACAATAATAATAAAACAAGCACAAGCAATAGCCAAAACCAAACCATCTAACCCTAACCAATGCCTATCACCGCCAGACTTCGACTTAGAAAAATCCTGTACTTTCCTAATATACTTAACTGCAGACATAGCAAATGATAACCCTTGTGACAGCTGAATTCCCCTAACTACAGATAATGGAATCAACTTATAAACTAGCTGCATCAAACCTGTGACACCTAAAAGTAACAAAATCCCAGCCGTACATATTCCGGCTGCCATAATTTCAGGCACACCAAACTCTGCACTATTTGATATAGCCACAGCTGCTATTGATTTCATTGGCTGGACTGGCATTGGCACACCATAGATTGCCCCAGTAACCATGTTGTATATGCCAGTGAATATCAATGTTGTCCCTAAATTAAGGTCAACAGATAATGTCAAGGCCAGCACTATTGGAATGTACGTACCTAAATCCCCCATGGCACCATTAAGTTCTGCCCATTTGGACCGAAAGACTAGGTTTTCTCTCACTTTGTGGAATATGGTTGTTGGAAATCTTGATCTGGTTGTTTGAGTTGGTGCATCACGAAGAGGTGTTTGGTAACTTGGAGATTCCATTGTTGTTTCTTGTGTATCTGCAGAATTGCGAGGTCTATGATTCAACCTGAATCTGGCTTATCCTTTTTTATATGGGGCTATGAAGCAATTGTACTATGCAGCGACCTTTCGAATCTTGGTTGGCCATTCATAAATGAGAAAATATCTTTCAACGGTGAGTGAATAGGGATGCGAAATTCAGATTTTTTTTTCATCTGACGTGGTGCTTATAAGTAAAGCACTCCTATTGGCTGATCATAAAAAAAACAATTTCTTTATCAATCACGTCGATTTTTAAAAATTGGATTAAAAAAATCTTATTAGGTGCTTTCTTTAGTTGTTTTCAATTTATAATTTATTTATTTATAAATTTATGAGGAGGCTTGCTATGTTAAGGATATCTCTTCAATCGCAATCACAGCTGCAATCAAACCAAAGAAATTCAATCTCACTGAAATCACCATATTAATTAGTAATAGACTAGATTGTTACCCACGTTATATTGCGCGGGCATCCTTTATATATATATATATATATATATATAGTATTAACAATTGGTATGATATATTATGAATAAAAATTTTATTTCTAATGATTAATATAAATCAAATTTATATATGGAGCGAAATCGCTTGATCTATATGTATAGTTATCAACAAAATATTTAATAATATTAGCATAAAATTTGTATTTGAATAATTGAAAAGTTCGTTCAAAACATTATGTAACTTATTTTATTTTAAAAACTAAATTTTTAGAATATAAAAAATAAATAATAAAGAATTGATATTATGTGTGCGGATCTATAGTTAATTTCTAATAAAACACACACACACACACACACACACACACACACATATATATATATATATATATCGGATTTAGAGTATATAGAATAAATAGAAAAATATACAAAAAAACCTCACCTAAATTGTATGAAATATATTGAAGTCAATAGAATAAAAAAACTACAACAAAATTGATTTAAAAAAAAAACTATAACAAAATTGATTCGATAAATTCGAATAAATATATATATATAATAAATAAATAAATAATGTGTTTTTTATAAAAAAAAATTGAGTCAAACAACCTAAAACTTACTTCTCTCTCTCTCTCTCTCTCTCTCTCTCTCTCTCTCTCTCTCTCTATATATATATATATATATATATATATATATATATATATATATATATAATCGAATTTATAATAATATATTTTTAAAATATAAAAAACAAACATTTTAAAATTTTATTCTAAAATTCATATATTAAAAAAATAAATTTATTAACAAATAAAATTATATCAAAAAATTAATTTGATGAGAATTTTAATAAGAAACAAATAATTGAAGAAGTAAATTTTAAACAATAAGAGTAATATAATCGATATATATGTTCAAACTAAAATCTTAAAAAATATCATATATATTCTATCATTTTCAAACTGTACGTAAAACTAAAAAAATAAAAATTTATTTTTTATATTTTTAGCTAATTTCATGATAATATATATATGAAGAAAAAAAAAGACTAGGCTCGCTAAATTGTATGAAATCTATTAAAGTCAATAGATTAAAATAAAAAAACTACAATAAAATTGATTGCAATAAATTCCGAATAAATATATATAAAATAAAAAATAAAACTTATGACTTTTTTGATCGATTATTAATTTTTTTAAAAAAAATTAAGCCAAACTATTTAAAATATACTCTTAGCTCTCTCTCTCTCTCTCTCTCTCTCTCTCTCTCTCTCTCTCTCTCTCTCTCTCTCTCTCATATATATATATATATATATATATATATATATATATATATATATATATATATATAATCAAAATTTATAAATTATAATAATATATTTTATAAAATAAAACACTCATTTAAAAAGTATAAAATAAATTATGATATAAATTATAATAATATATTTTAAAAAAACATCAATGTTCTAAAATCTTATTCTAAAATTCATATATTAGAAAACCAAATTTATTAACAAATAAAATTATATCAAAAAATTAATTTGATTAGAATTTTAATAAGAAACAAATAATTAAAGAAATAAATTTTAAACAATAAGAGTAAAAATTAAAAAAAAAAGTAATAGTGAAATTTAAAAAAGAAAAAAGAAAAAATAATAAGATCGAGTAGTATAGTGTTATAGTGTGAGAGTAAAGTAAATCATCGACTGTGTGAAAAAAAAAACGATCAATTTTTCAAAATTTTAACTCTCAATCAAATAAAAAAAGAACATAAATTGATGAGAAAAAAAAAGGAAGAAATATAGTGCATCAGCTAGAGATTAAAATTTTGATTTTAAAATTTTAGAAATAAAAAACGAAATAATTTTAAAATTTTAAAAAAACCTAAGAAAAAACTAAGGGTGAAAATTAAAAAAATATATAAACTAAATAATTTAAAAAAATTAAGAAAATAATTAAGAGTGAAAAAATTAAAAAAGAAGGGAAAGAAAAAATAAGGTTGAATAGTACGGTTAAGGGTTAAAAAAAAAAAAACCAAACATGTTCAATTGAACGAGTATCGCGTGACGATTAATGTTCATACTTGTTCATTCGAATAGTAAAACCACCGTGCGTTTTAATTTATATGTAATTTTCTGTTATCATCGATTATTGTTTAGGAAATAACTAGTCGGCTTTTTGTAATATGTTGGAAACTGAATTAAACATATTTATTTTAATTTAATAACATATATTATGTTATTGATCAACTAAAATATATTAAATTAAAGATAAAATATAAAATGTCATATAATTTCATAGTTTTTAATCAAAATTTTGTATTTAAATTTCTTTGTATGTTTTGAATAAATTTTGTAGTTTAAAAAAACCCGATTTGTTATTTCTTATGCATTTTTTCTTAAATAAAAACCCATAATAATCTAATATAAAATTTTAAGAAAAATCTTTATAATTTTTTTATATCATTGCAT